GCGCACTATAACAATCAAATTTGCTATCAATTTGCTTAAAAATAAGACATTTACTTTGAAAAAGTTTCAAAATTTTTTACGCAAATTTACGTATTTCTTTGTATACATGTGCTCATATAAAAGAGTATATACTTAAGAGTATATACTTAAGTACACTTAAGACGAAAGTTACTTATTATTATTATTGCAAGGACTCATAATTAAAATATCGAATATTTTGCAGTTACATAGTTTACAATACATTTACGTAAGATAATAATGATATAATAATAATATAACAATTATATGTATAGTGTTTCATTTTAATCAAGTCAATTTTCTCCAAAATTATTAATAATACAAAAAGACAAGATTTTCAAATGAAACTGAAACGAGGATTTCGAGGAAATATTTTGATCTCCTTTTTTTTCTAGATGGAGGTTCCAAAAAAATATGAAAATCACCTCTTTTTAAAAATAATATTCTCCATTTTTCGAACATCTACGGTTGTAACTCATCTCAAAACAAATACAATCATTAAAGACAAAATCACTCAAGTTTCAACTGGATATGGAAGATATGAAATACAAAATTATCTTCTATACGAATTCTATGTGCTTTCACGGATATTAGCTAGAAATTTTGAAAACATATTTGTTATCAGTGATAAAAACTCAAAATTATCGTTTTTTCCTCTTTGATGTTATTTTTGTCAAAATTGATAGCCAAATTTGAAAAATAAATTTGTACTCAATGGGCAAAAATATATTAAATATATTAAAAACAAAATATTAAAACAAATTTTTTTCAGGCTAGCTCTGTCTTATTTCGAACTTGACATCAGATAAAGGCAATTGTCTGTAACTGTAGATAGTGATAATATTGCAGTGGCCATACAAAATAGTCAAACGATAAGCGACTGGTTAAATGCAGGCAATTAACCACAATGATGACAAAGATAAGTGCAACACAGTGCATTTTATTTGCTCATAGTACGAATGCGTGTCCAATTACTAGCTCTAATAATGATTGGCATAGCGCTTTATCATTCCGCATGGAATATTTTGTTATATAATGTTGAGTCATAACTCAATGTTATATAACAAAATATTCTACCTTGTCTGCTTTCAAATATTATAAAATTTAGAATATTTGCCTAAAATTGTATAATTTGCTATTGTGACTCATAGTCGACTCATATATGCTTCAATTTATTTTTTATTTAATCAATTATTAAATTGTCACATCTGCATTAATCTCATAATAAAAATATTTTATCATAAAATCAATTTTACACAAATGTTCACAAAAATGTTATAATTTTTCCTCAATAAGTCATAAAT